GTGCGGGGGCGGGCAGGGCGGCGTTGGCGGCGGGCGCGGAGGCGCCGGCGCGCAGCAGCAGCAGGGCGTTGGCGTCGCGCTCCGCCAGGACGGCGTCTGCCAGCGGCGTGCGGCCCTGCAGGTCGCGCGCGTCCGCACACGCCCCTGCACGCAGCAGGGCGGAAACGATGCCCGCGTCGCGGTTGCGCACCGCCCTGCAACAGACAGCGCACGCGCAGCGATTACACCCCAAAACGCGATAGTGTTTCCGGGACCGTCAACTGCTAATGTCATTAGGCCCTGCCGCTAGAATTCTCCTCGCCAAAGCGGCTGAATTAGATCGAGTTATCTAGCTATTACCGAAACTACTGCCTCCGACATCAATTGATGCCCTGAGCCACTTGTGCCTGTAACAAGAACTCTAAAAGACGCGTTTTGACGTTATTGTAATATAATAACGAAGTCGTCGAACTCGACGGTGTCCTGACTATCATTGTGTCTTTGCAGATGCCGTCTCAGTGCCGGCTTCTTACTTTGTGTTAAATTTGATCGTAATATTGCAGACTGGACAAACGCATGGTATTATGGGGAGTTGAGAACCACTTAGCATTCAGGTTCTAATTCTAATTCGTGTAATTCGAAAATACCATATGTTTCCCAATGGTAAAAATCCGACATAGTGCAACGGGCGCGAGAGGTACTGCGGGTTGCGTTGCAAGGAAGTGCACTTGCGCGTTTTTTGTTGGGACGAGACATTGGCGACTGTGACGTGCGTGAAGCACCGGCGCCGACGCGCAGTGTTGCAGGTAGCATCGCGTGCTTGGAACTGGTGAACGTATCGGTAAGGGACACCGGTAACTGGCCGGCAAAGTCGGACTATCGATCCGAAATGCGAATTACATACATAATTCCGTCAGCGGAGAGTCAGGTTTCTCATTTGAGCCTCGGCTCCTTGCCTCGAACAAGCACAATTCAGTTCTTGAAATGAAACATGACTCACTGAACGAAACGAAACTGTTTATTTCAGCTGTCATTGTTCTATATAATTCGAGATGTGAAGTGGAGTAATAAATATTTCTGAATAGTTAAATGTGTTTGAGTTTTCATTGTATTGTTCTCTTGTGTATTCGATTACAATTCCTAAAACGGAACGGGAAGTTTATTTTGTGATGACCAGAAAATTATCGCCTGCCTTATGAATCATTTAACGCCTATCGGCGTTTTGTAAGTGAGTCACCTTGGAATGTTGTGAAGACGAAATAGCTTTTTATCCGATCATTATATGAAAAAAACAGTGAATGTTCCCGACAAGCATATTTTTTGGGTGTCATATACGTAATGACAGTTTTTCGGCTAATAAATATCACATGTGAATGCTTATAGATCTTATTTTAAAAGAAGGTTGAGTAGAGGGCATAATTTGTGAGTTTACAAATGGCATATCTCAATTGTATAAACTTCATTTGTTCTTTAAATAATGGGTTAAAGATGTCCAACAATTGAATACACTGTCGTAATTGTCTCCTGACTACGGACTTCTGCGTTCTTCAGTGCCTGCAATATTATTTCTGTTGCACGACTAATTACAAATGGTTGGATTTTATATTTCATTGAAGTTTAAGCAAATTTGTGTTAGTAAACATTTTGGAGGAAGGCCTTGGAGGTAGATAGGTGGAGAATTGTTGGGTGACGTGGGGACAGCATGGAAGCTGTAGCTGCTTAGCTGTTCGGGTGACGGCGTGTCTTGGGCAAAGGTAACAACGTTTCGGCCGCCATTCTGCGACCGTCCTCAGGGCAAAATCTGGAGAAGAAGGTTACAGAAAGGCTGCATAAATGTTGGCACCTGTGCCCTGGAAGCGGCTTCTCCCAGACACCCAAGCAGCTACTCCTATCGCGGAAGCCCATACTGTCAGGATGGAGGCAGGTGGGAGGCATGTGAGGGTAGGCTGGCGTGAAGGTGGGTGGAGAAGGGCGTGTAGACGGGGGTGGGCAGGGTTTGGACCCACCTGTGCAGCGGCGTCTCCCCGACGGCGTTGGGCGCGCGCGGGTCCGCGCCGACCCCCAGCAGCAGCTGCACCACGTCGGCGTGGCCCTGCGCCGCCGCGCAGTAGACGGCCGTGTCGCCGCGCCGGCTGCGCTCGTCGGGGCTGAAGCCCATGCGCAGCAGGCGGCGCAGGTGGTTGGTGTGGCCGTTGTTGGCGGCGGACACGAGCGGCGACGCCAGCCGCTCCCGCAGCGCTGCGCCCGGCACCCACGCGCACGCCCCGTGGGGGTCCTCCACGCCCTTGGCGAGGCGTGTGCGCCCTTGGCCCGCTCGGCCACCTCGGCCGCCGGCTGCTGCTCCTGATGCTAATCCTGATCCTAATCCTGGTCCTAATCCTGATCCTAATCCTGTTCCTAATCCTGGTCCTGATCCTGGTCCTGATCCTGATCCTAATCCTGATCCTAATCCTGATCCTAATCCTGATCCTAATGCTGATCCTAATCCTGATGCTCCTCCCGTTGCTGTTTCTTCTGAGACTGTTGCTGCTGCTGTTGCTTCCGATCCTGATGTTCCTAATGCTGTTCCTCCTCCTACTCCTTTTACTGCTGCTGCTGCTGCTGCTATTGGTTCTGATCCACCGTTTTGTGATGGTGCTGATGTCACTGCTGCTGGTGGTGAGTCAACTCCTAGTGATGGTGCAGCTGCTAGGGCTGGAAATGCAACTGCTCCTAGTTTCTTCTCCTGCTTGGAGACTCGACTGAATTGCTGTTCTGGAGCTGGTTCAGCCTCTGACACTGCTGCTGTTTCGCGGGCTTGAGATGTTTCTGGGATGCAGTCCTTTTTGGACACACCTCCCGTTTGTTGTGGGCGCGCACCCGGCGGCAACTCCTCCACATCAGAATCCACCCACTCCATGGGCGAGTCTGACGTTGCGTCGCTGGGCTCTGTCTCCGTAACGGCCGGCAGCAGCACGTCCGGCAGGGAGAGCAGTGCGGGCGGGAAGGGCGGCGGTGGCAGGAAGGGCAGGCGCGCGGGGAAGCCCGGCGGCGCCCTAGGGAACGGCGACGGGCGCGCGGGCGCGCGGATGGCCGTCGCAGGGCAGAAGCGCTTCGCAGGGACTGCGTGCGAGGTGCCCTGCTCGCTGCAAGCTCCCGTTCCGGCCGCTTGCGAGTGTTTGCGCTTGGCGCCCGCTACTGGGGCCTTGGTGGCACTGGTGCTGGTGCTGGCTCTGGCGCTGGTGCTGGCGTTGGTCCTAGTGCTGGTGCTGGCCCTGGCGCTGGTGCTGGCCCTGGCGCTGGTGCTGGCCCTGGCGCTGGTGCTGGCCCTGGCGCTGGTGCTTGTGCTGGCGCTGGTCCTAGTGCTGGTGCTGGCGCTGGCGCTGGTGCTTGTGCTGGCGCTGGTGCTGGCACTGATGCTGGCGCTGGTGCTGGCGCTGGTGCTGGCGCTGGCGCGGGTGCTGGCGCTGGTGCTGGCGCTGGTGCTGACGCTGGCGCTGGTGCTGGCACGTGTGCTGGTGCTGGCGCCGGCGCTGGCGAAGGGGTTGACGCTGGGGCGTGGGCGAGGACGCCGGCGGCGGCGAGCCAGTGGACGCGGGTGTGCGTGGGGGCGGGGCTGGGAGCGTGGGACGGGCAGCCACTCACGCAGCGCCATCAGCATGGCGTAGCCACGGCTCAAAAGTGGATCCTCGTCTTCGAGGCCGGAAGGCGATCTAATAAAAAAGACGTTAGCTGCTTACAAAAATACTAAACAAAAAATGAATCAAAGTATATTGATTTTGTAAACTGTTCACTTAAGAGTGACATAAAAGCGTGAACTTTCTTCTTTCAGGATAGAAGGTTAACATACCAATATTCTTGTCTGTTAAAAGCGCTGTCCGTCCATAAGAGAAAGCTGTTAATTTATTTTACATTGTTGCAAAATACAATAAAAACCGAATAATTGAATAACATAACACAAAACGAAAACATGGAAATAATTTGTCATACTCTTGTATGTCACAAGATTAATTCTTAAAGGTGTTATGCGCCAAGGGAATTGATTGATTTTCTTTGACAAAACAAGAATATCTTAAAAATGTATAGGCATAATTGATTAATAAACTAAATAGTCATCTAGTATATCAAGGATTTTGTAACGTGATGATACCGTTGCTACTTGCACAAGAACGTCTGGAAGTTTTTAATCAGATCGTATTTTCTCGATAAAATTTCGTAATTCAAAACCTTTGAGCATTCTTCCAGCCTTGAAACACGGAAATAGTGCATGGTGGAACTTGGAACAATGGAGCGCTAGCGAGACTCACCCAGCGTTGGAGGTCGACCAGTGTGACAGCAGCGCGTCCAGCAGTTGGGCGGCGCGCGAGGGAGGCGCGGACCAGCAGTCGCGCTCCCACCACACCACCTGCGCACGGAGCGGAGGCAATGCGGTTGCGATTGAAAGTGGTCGCACGACCACTCTTTATTCAAAACCCTACCCGGGCCTTGATTTTTCACCCATTTTTCAATTGATTGATCAAAACCCTTTTCCGGACTTTGATTTTTCACCCATTTTTCAATTGATTAATTGAATGAGGACGCGCCTAGTTGGTCCCGTAAGTGTACTTCGTGTTTTCTCCTCGTGAGGTGTCGATGATGGTCCCCCGCTAGATGGTGAGATCTGGCGGCAGGTATCTCCCACCGGCGGGCCATCGCCCTACCCGGGACAATGATCTAAGCTCCCGACCGGCCTCACGGCGTGTGTGGTAGTGTAGTGTATGTTGGTGTGTGTATGTAAGGGGTAGGATGGAATCAGAAATGCGAAGGAAATATCGCGTGCGGTATGTGGTCCGTTTGTTAGGGTACTGCTCCGGTATTAGCCTGGTATTGATCGGGTAAACCACGGAATATTATCGATCAGAGCAGCCGGCTGCTAGAATTCTCCTCCGTACAGCAACTGAATTCGACCTAGGGGGCAAGCTGCAACCGAAAATCCTGCTATCGTCGGAACTCGAACCTAGGACCTCCCGGTCAGATGCACTGCAGTCAAGTTGAATTCAGAGCATCAATGCCCGAGGCACCACCAAGGCCACCGTTTCCACTCACCCCCTCCCCTGCCTCTCTCCTTGCCTCTCTGCGGGCGGTCCACTGTTCCGCACGGAAATCGCGATTTCGGTTGCGATTCGAGAAGCGCTCACTCTGTGCTCCCGATAACAAGCTGAAGGACAGTAAACTTAAAAACTGCAAATAAAACTAGCCGGAAGAAGAGAAAACTTTTGTTGAATAGAAACATTAATCTCACGAACGATCACATTCGCCGGACCCTGGCCAACGAGCTAGAATATATAAGATAGAGTGGCTATTCATGTAGTTTCAGAGCTGTTGGTGGAGACTCGCCAAACTAGTGGCCGCCATAATTGAAGTCAAAACATTCGAGTGGCGGTGTAACCGTCCGTAACCAGCGCCTAACGCAATGCTATACTGCGATTTTCGCAACTCAACCCATGGCAGTTATCAGCTGTTGACAGTTTCATCCAATCGGAAGCTTAAGCGTTAGTACAGTGACGTCACTATTGTAAGGTTCAAGCTCTCGATTGGATAAAACCGTAAACATCTGAGACCTGCCACAGGCAGTGTTGCATGAATCACAGTTTAGAATAC